GGATATGTTTAAAGTGAAGTAGACTCTTATAATTTAATTAACTTTAGGGTTAGGTCACTTTAGATGAGCGTTAGGCTCGGGTTAGCTATGGTTTATTATATCTTTTTTATCAAAATTTTTAATTGTCGGGATTATGACCTGTCGGGATTTCGCCTGTCGGATGTTGACCAAAACCCTTGGTAACAGTGGCTTGAAGGCTTAGATGCAAGAAAATCAAATGCATCACGTAAACATTGAAATTTTCGCGTAAACGCGATTACACTAACGCTTGCGCCCTGAAATCATACCGCGTATACGTTGAGATTTCTTTGCATACGCTCAAATCTCAGCGTAAACCTTTAGATTATAGCGTAAACGTTTTAATCCTTCAAAATGTATATATGCACTTTGAATTCAATAAAGACCGATAGTTCTCATCCACTCTTAACTACCATAAATAAAAAAGTATATATACCTATCTGAATTTTCCCTTGTGAAGTATCCTCCTAATTCGACTTGTAACTTTAATAACCCCTTTCGAGACTCACTGAGTTGACTTGTAACTTCGATTTGGCTCATTAAGACTCGGATTCTGGAACGTTTGTGGAATCAGATATTGCCATTAACATTAGTGACTTGTGGGAATTGTAGTAGAGAATGACACTTAACGATTGGTTATTCGACTCTGGTAATCTGTCACAGTCCTTAAGAGCACCATTTAATTATAACCTTAACAGCATCACCCGTCATTGCATCACTCCATCAGCATTCCCTATTGATATTAAAGTATTCGCTATAGTGTCCTATTGTACATTTAGTCCTTTAACAATTATAAAAGACCCACTTCGCTTCTCAAATTAATCTTTATCTCCTCGTACACCGTTGGAGATAAATTGGTCTTCATCCATATTATTTTTATAAGCTCTCCCATCGACTGCTACAATATATAACACTATTTGGAATCTTAATTCAACCGATAAGTAATGGAATGCAATAATTACAATATATGCTTTGACAAAATGTACCAACGAAATAACTGCACAAAAATTCATTATTTTATTATAATTCCTTATGGTACATTATAATCCTATATTTAATAATTTTTTAAAGCTGTACAGGTATACTTTGGGGAAAGTTGAATAAATTTTTGGGATCATATTTTCTTTTTATTTGCACCAATCTTCGAAAAATATCACCATAATATCTTATTTGCCATTTATCTAAGTCCCTATCAATGAAATCTTGATAACTCTCATAAGACGTAAAGTTTTTTTGAAAACTTTTTCCGAAGTTATTTATTTCATCAACACATCCAGTAGTTTGTTCGTTACCTGTCCAATCAGATTCCATTTGTATACAATAAAGTGCATCGCGATGTATAAAAGAAGAAGAGCTATCATAATTATTTACAGCGCCACCGTATAAATCGAGTGAAGCAAAAGTTTCGCAAGTAGCATTATTCAAAAAATTAACCAAAGAATCTATAGCTCGATTAGTTAATCCTTTACCCTTATTAACAATAAAAGATTTTGCTTTAAAGAAATTTGGATGATGCACTGGATTCACAACCTCATATTTATCAGGTGATTTAGAAAGTGTTGCAACAGCTTCAAAAAATGTTTGTTGATCAAATTCTAATAAACTCGGATCTGGTGCTTTAGATAAGAATTCTTTCATTGCATTTAGCGCTTCGGTACGTGGACCTAAATATAATCCAGTAATTGATGATGATCTTTTATCCAACTTCATTTTAAGTGCAATACCATCGTCAAGTGATGGACCAACTTCATTGAAAGCATGAAACAGCTTATATACTTGATTCATATTTGTCATATTTGCACTATCAAATTCCAATTTCATGGAAGTAACTTGTGGTGGCGTTCGATAAATACGAAAGACAAAATATGTTATTATGCCGTAACTTCCACCACCTGCTCCTCTTAAAGCAAAGAATAGATCGGAATTTAAAGTGGAATCAACTTGTAAAAGGTTTCCATTGGCGTCAACCATTTCCATAGAAATAATATTATCACAAGCTAAACCATACTTACGGCTGTAATATCCAAACCCCTATAAAAATGAAGTATATAAACTAAGTTATAAAAAATACTAAAAAGCATGATTATAGATAATGATATTAATATGTACCCTTCGAGAGCGTGACCTCCAATGCCTACAGAAGGACATAATCCGGCCGGAATAAAGAAACCGGCCTGATTCAATTGATTATAAACGTTGCCCAACCTATTTCCCGCACCATTTTTAGCAGTTTTCGTTTCTGAATTGATTGTAATACCATTGACAAATGTCAAATCCAACACGATAGCATTATCCCTACCGCCTAAGCCATACTTTTCATATGAATGACCACCTGAACGCGGAACTATATCCATTTTCATTTCAACAGCACATTTAACAGCTTTTTGTACATCTTTGTTATCAACAGCGTAAACTAGCACTGATGGTGTATAATTTACTCGAATATTTTGATCAATAATTAATGATTGGAAAAGTGTATCATTTTGATAAATTACTGGACCTTCTATTGAATTAAGACACAATGAAAGTGATAAAATATGACTGGAATTTATATTTACTATAAAATTAAATAATAAAATACACAATAAAAGAGGTGAAACTATGTCAAGCTGATTTATTATCTTCATTTTGAATACTGCTTTAGCCGTAAAGGTAAAGTGGATTACGAATTTGAAAGATATAATACCAATAAGGCATATATATATAAATGTGTGTTGTTAAGTATTGTTTTAACTCGAGTCAACCCGTGGCTTAAAACATAGTCTTAACTCGAATCAACTCGAGTCAAGGCTATGTATTTAAGCCACGAGTCCAAACACTAATGCCGAGGGGAAAACTTGACGTCAAGCTCTTAATTACAGTCGGACCTCCCTAAATGCAACACTATGAAAAGTCTCTCTAAACGCATGTCTTCATTTGGACCCAACTAATACAATACTTATCCCTTAAACCGTTTAGAATTTCAGTACAAATTTGCTCTGAATTCTAAATTATAAAAAACTTCTGATGTATTTTTTTAAAAAAATTGATATACGGTGCGCGACATCTAATCACATCAGAAAATCTTCAAAAATCTACAAAATAAAATAACTAAGAATAATATAATACATATTCAGAAAAATTTTCTATAATTTTATTCTTTATGCTTAAAAGAATATATTTATAGAAAAGCTTTTTTAAAAAAATTATTTATTATTAAGTTATTTTATCTTTAAATTAC